GGAACTTCCTTCTGCCAGGCTGAGAATCCAGCATGCTGGACAGCACTGAATTCAGAGGATATTTTTAAAATACCCTTTGTTGTTGTGACAAAACCCCAACACAGGATCTTTGCCATTCACGGGATGTTTCCCAAGAACACTAGAGAGACTGAACAAGGGTCTTGCACAGATCCCAGACGGGAGACGTGGCAGTCCATTTGAGTCAGTTTGAAAGCCATAGGCATGTCACATGCCAACAGATGGTTAATTATCTCAATTTTATTGTGATTTAGCTCCAAGACAGACCGAGTGGGCCAGCACTTGTGTTAGCAAGCTTGGCTGCCTCACCAGTTATCGGAGGGCACTCTTGTCCTCCATTTCTCGATGACCAAACCAGCAAATCCATTCCTTCATCCTCCTGAAAATCCTCAATTAAAAGGAAACCCTACAGCTAGGGACTATCATTTGCTCCTGAAGTCAGACCCTGTCAATACATTTCTGAGAGTTAGAGCACTCAGACTTCAGGACACTGTCAACAGTCATTACAGCAGTGATCAGAGAAAAAACACAGACACACAGTTTTCCCTTCTAAATGAGGGTCCCAGCCCGATCCCACTGAGATCAAGGGTGGTTTCCCATTGATTTCAGAGGAATGAGGATCAGGTACATTGCTTATAAACTTAAGTCTAAAAAAAAAACAAAAACAAAAAGAAATCCCATGTAAAAGGGCTCAACTCCTGGGAGTCTTCTTCTCTTCGAATATATTTTTCAAAAGGTCAGTATAATAAAAATCAATTGGAAATAAACTAACAACAGTAATTAATGACTACCGCAGAGCAATCCCCCTCCCCCTTAGCTACCCAACTCCACTCTCTGTGACTCAGACCTGTCCTAAGCACTAACTCATCACGTATTTTAAAGGAAGAAGGGGGGTCCAATTAAGGAGAACATGTTAGCCATATGCTTGCTTTGTGGCAGATTCCAAAGTGGCCGATACAAAGACAAACATTCAGCACTCCACAATAAGAACTTTGTCCATCACTGTAATAAATCAAGCCGCAGCCGCTTTTACTGAACCCTCTTTTACCGCTAACGAGCAATTTGACTAGCCAACAAATGGACGGGAGGGCTCATTCCACAGCCCTCATTTATACCTTGCATCTGATTGCACCAGATTAATGCACATCTCCTGATGAATAGTTGCTCATACTGGGTCAGATTCTGCCACTCTTACGCGGAGTAGAAATCAGGGGGGGATTTTCAGCATGAGCAAGGATGGCAAGAGCTGGCACCTACCATGCAAAACTCGGATTTTATCCACCGCAACTTACTCAATTCAGTGTAAGACCGAAGTGTGCCTTGTCCGGATCTACAGAATGGCAGACCGGTACTGATTCACGTCTCTCTCCAGACAACATAAAACCCAACAGAGCGAGGCACATGGGAAATCTTTGCTACAAGCTAATGCATTGATGGGCTGTCTGTGGTATATTTTACACAGCACTTCGAAGGATTCCTCAGACATTCTGCACGAAAAAAAACAATCAAAAGGGGTCAGCTGAGAGTTCATTAAAATTTATTTCCCTGAGGATCAATTGCTCTGTGCGCACACACACACCCCCCTCTGTCCAACTTCACAAATAAACGCCTGGATATGAAAGTGGAACCTTTGCAGATGCCATTTCAACTCCAGCCAAGAAGAGAACCGGCATGTCAGAACTGTCATCCCTCCTCTAAGACCAGCTCTCTGACAGTCCAGGAGAACATGGCCTCTCTCTTTGTGCCAATATAAAGTATGAAAGCCAGACTGTTGTAAAATTAACAAGGCAGTTCTGCACCGGTGCCAGTGAGACATTCTGCCAACATTTCCCATGTTTAATAATGGTTCCTGGTTTTGTTTTGTAACAAAACTCCCATCACACAGACTTTCTCCCTATTGTGGTAGGTAACCACTTGCTTTTTGCAATTTAAATAATGTATTCAAGTTCATGTGCATATGTCTGTTTATATAAAGGAAAACATATGGTTCATCCGTTTACATCCAGACTCTGTATGCACTATACGTGTGTGTGTCATGCTTATATCGTATTCTGGCTAGCTGAATCTCAGAGTGCGTGCATGCACACACTATTTATTCACTTGTACCATATACAGCTGGATAGACAAGATGTGTGAGAATCAAAGGAAAAAAGCAACTAAGGTTCATGATACATAACAGAGATGCTGACACACAGACTCAACTACAATCTGCCAGGGCTAATATTTAAGACACACACATTTCGACTGTATCCATTGCTTTGCTCACTTTTGCCATGGCATCTCTTTCCCAGCAAAATTCTATGAAGCCCTGGTACGCACAAATAATGTATGGTTATTCAGCTTCTCACACCAGATAGGAAGGAGAATCAGCCTGGAATACAAGATGGAGTCACCAACAAAATGTTTAAAAGGCAAAATGTTCTGATCCAAGCTGCTTCCTCTGAAACACTTCTTAGGTCACAGGGAACACAAGGAAGCAGTGTGGAAAATGAGCAAGAATGGTGTGAAACCTTCATGTCTTGTTATATACAGAATTCAGTATATTGTGCTTTTTGTAGACATGGGAACTTTCAAGAGTATTAAGTTAACAGTCATAACAGAAAACTTGGGGTGTGGCTCCGAGAGGCTCAGCAGATGCAGCCGAGAGATTTCTTTCACCTCTAGGAGAACAGCTGTCGACAAAGACAACCCTACATAGAAAAGGAATATGCATCCGATTAAGTGAGCTGTAGCTCACGAAAGCTTATGCTCAAATAAATTGGTTAGTCTCTAAGGTGCCACAGGTCCTTTTCTTTTTGCGAATACAGACCAACACGGCTGCTACTCTGAAACCCTACATAGGGTTGCCAATTTTGGCTGGATGTATTCCTGGAGGTTTCATCACAGGACATAATCTTTAATTAAAGATTAATCTGCAATTCCTGGATATGCCAGGACAATCCTGGAGGCTTGGCAACCTAGGCCTATGCAAAACGATATTAGCAAGTATTGTGGATCTGACCTAACTATCAAAGCCCAACGGGCTGGGCACTTGCATTCGAGGGGGAAAAAAAGCACTGCCTGGTCCCCTACAAGTCAAACCCGAGTGCATGTGGCCGGAGGTGAAGTTTATGAGGCAACGCCTGCACTAACAGAAGCCCTTGCATTTTCAGTTCCTTCACTCTCCTATGCACAACTACCTGTGGCTGTGTTCACTGCTAGTGAATGTGTCTTCTACTCCTCCCCATCCCTTAAGACTTACACTGAAAACCTACAACAGCCACTCAAAGAACCCGCCAATATGAAGGCTGTGGAAGGTCTGCTTGTATCTGACAGCAGACTAACAACCCAAGAGCTCTAAGACTCTCACCCTGGGAGAGAGACTTATCCACAAAAGGGAACGGGAAAGGAAGTTACAAGTCCTAATTTGTGGTGATTACTCTGGGGTCCTTGACCTGCCCTGCAGGGGTGACAAACAGTAAAGTCCCCACCCCCATGTCACTAATTCACACAGAGAAACAAACCTTCTAGCTAGACTTTTGATGTATATTTTAGAGAAAACTGTGTCTAATGCAGCCAGCTCTTCCTCTGAGAGCAGCAGAAACACAGGCACGTCCCCTGATGCCTAACTAGATTCCCTTGGCTTCCATGCAGAACACACTGCCCTACTTAGAGTCCATGGGAAAATCTCAGCAGAGGCATCAAATCTGCTCATCTTCTCCATATGCTAACCTCCGGAATACAGCACTGCACTGGTCAGCAAAACCCTTTCACTTTCAGATTCTAGAAGGAGAGATGCCTGTAGGCAGCACCAAAGAAAAATACAGACCACTTGTTGTCATTTATGGGACTTCAAAAATTAACACCCGTTTCCCTACCCAAATAAATAAAGCCAAAAATAAAATGTTGTCATTGCTTTTAAAACAGAAGTACAAAGCGGATTCCAAAGCAAAGACTACACCACATTTTAAGCCACTATTGCTACAACATGTTCCCAACAGTTGATCTACATCATCCTTAGCATCTGGTCATTGCTATTTTTCATACATGGAGTTTTCTTGGCTTTCTTTTCCTATTGTGTCACTCTCTATTGAGATTCACGTTAAAGCTGAAAGGTTCCTCTTTTGCAAGCAAACGTTTGGTTCATTTCCATGATTGGTCATAGAGTCAGAGTTAGCCAACTCTGACCTCGATCTGCGAGAGTCAGTAAACAAATATGTTCATATAGAAATACGCATCACTCTGTGTGTGTGTGTGTGTGTGTGTGTGTGTGTGTGTGTGAAAGAGACATGAACACGCACATATGTACATCTATAAAGCAGATAAAGGACTCTCTCACTGGCTCATCTCATTCCAGCTCAGAATGAATAAAAACTGGATTTCACCCCCTTTGATTTTGTTTTTAATCTGTCTCTCCTGCGACCCATCCCATGTCAAATGCTTCCTCTGATCCATCTGCACATTCCGCACAACCCTCTTCCGAATGAAAGCTCCTGTCACGGCTCAGGAGGAAGAAGCATCCGATGGATCCAGCCCAGTAACTGAGGGGGGTCGATGGTCAGAGGCAGGAGGGATTTGTGGACGTGATAAGTTGATATGGTTAAACATTGCCGTCTGCAGAGTGTTGTGTGACCCTGTAATACTCAATGTAGTACAGCCTGTCAGCACCTCCCTCCCTCAGCCTCATCTCTATGCTTCTGCAGCTGCATCTATGAGCTATTTGCATGCCAGGGCAGGGGCTTAGAGTTTATCATCAAATTAAAAAAAGTAGACTAGATGGGTTTCTAATCCTGATAGCCTAAAAAGGGTGGATTTGCATTGCATGCTCGCCTGCAAATTAAAATCTCCTCTCACTGTGATTAAATGAGCCCACTTCTACTGCACATTTAGCCCTATGCTCCAAGTGAGATGAGCAGTGTATTAGCAAGCCCAGGGAAATCAATAACCTCATTCTCTCTCCCCCCGCGCACACACACACACACACACACGATGCGTTCCCTTACCTTTCATTGTCCACACTCCTGAAGCCAGGTAAAATGTGCCGGAAGCTGCTGTTCCTATCAAGCTTGGGCTGGCTCTTTGTCCTTTTGATGGAGCCTTTAAGCCGACGGCTGAGAAACCCCTGTGGGGTGAGACAAGAATACTAAATTATAACCCCCCCCCAAAAAAAAAAAAAAAAAAAAAAAAGCGCGAGCCCTTAACCTGCTCCCTTGCACCCAAGCACGACTAGGCAAACTGGTCTCTCCAGCACCCTTCAGCTGCAACTGCTGGAAGCATTGTTCGTGCTGTCAGCCCCGACTCCAAGGATTCCATCCAACATCTGCTCCCAGCGCTTGCAGAGGCCAGCAAGCTACGTAGATGCGAGACTCCCCTAAGCCTCTGTTACCTTGGCAACCATCAGCTCACATAAAAATACTGTCTGAGAGACAAGACTAGCATATTGCAACTCCCAACGAGAGGAAACATTCGGACTCGGGGTTCTGTTTGACTCAGCCTGGCACCGCTGCCAGGACTCTCTGCCAGGCACAAGGACTCGCTCACTCCATGCCACCGCGATTGGAATAAGAGATTGACAATAATTCACTCACCTGTCCAAAAAACCCCAATTGCTTGCTCCAGGTGAGTGGAACTGGACAAGGCTGTTTTAAATGTATCACCAAATATCTTCCCCCCACCCCACTCCTACAATGTGCAGCTTTAGAGTAACCTAAATACACATCCTACAGGCAGTACCTGCATAGAGAGAGGACAGACCTATGCTGGACAGAGAGCAAATACACTGTGCCTCCCCTCTCCCCTATGAAATATAAGTAGCAGTCACCGCAGTGCTTTAACTCTAGCATTAAATATTTTAATAGCAAAGCTTCTAATGTGTTATTTGCTTATTGCTATGAGTTAATGGCCAACATAATCTGAACGTTACATTTACTCTTGGAGCAACGTAAGGCAATAAAAGAATCATGCTGCTATGGTGCCCAGCCCTTACAGGAGGGGAGAAGGGCTGAGGGGGACTGGCATAGTGGCCATAAGGTAACAACACATTTAAAAGTAACAAAACCATGGTCATAGGAGCCCAGAGAGCAATTCCACTCTCTGGGACACATGGTCATAGCCAGTTATTTCACAAGCTGAGATCTAGCATGTGCCTCTTCTCAGTCCTATCCTCACTGAGGTGGTGGTGACATGCTTAGCCCAAACCAGTATTCTGACATACGAGAGAGTGAAACCTCACTTGCAAGTAAATTGGGGCAGTACCCCCACCTGGGGCCCATGGAGCATGTTCAGCCATGCCAGGCTCGAGCCTATTACACTTTTCCAACCAATCCTGGGAACCAGTTCTAGGTCTCTCTGGGTGACTCCTGAATATAAACAAATGCACTCCTGCATAGTGTAAATAGTCTCTCTCTCAAGAAGAGACTTGTGAGAAGAACCAAGTATAGCTAAATGAAACACAGACCTTCAATTTGTCCATTCTCAGAAAAACACCCATTCCCAAACAGTGTCAATGGGTCAGATAAGATGTTCCTGGGGTATCAGGACTGCCTGGAGCAGTGTGTGCAGGCTTCTGATTCACAAGCAACTACCTAGTTTGCAACTGTATCAAAAGAGAGACATTCAGACTGGTAAAGGTGACTCAGATTCACCCAAAGGCCATTTCACCCATGAATGAGGCATGTAACCTGTATTCACAGGCCAAGTCATTTTTTCAGAACCACTTGTTTCATTGGAATGGGGATAGAATCAACTGGAAGCAATCTCGAGAGGTCATCTAGTCCAGTCCCCTTCACTCAGGACTAAGTATTATCTAGACCATCCATAGCAGAACATGTCACCAGGTCATGCTACAAGAGAAATGTACAAGACAGTAAGGGCCCTTTCAGAAAGCACTGTAGCTGTGGAAAATATAGCATTTTCCTCTCTATGGAACAGGGAAGCGAGAGGAAGCCCACTAGCAAATCTGGGGGTCTTTTTAAAAAAACCCGAAACAATAAGTCTCAAAGGTTATATCCTCATCTATTGCCTCATAGCCTTGCCAGACCACTTATCCTTTCATGCATGCCTTAGACATCCCCATATTTGCTATGTCACTCTACAGTCTCTTGCCTGTCCAGCACACAGAGAAACAGACTTTTTGTGTGTTACCCAACTTTAAACACAAACAGAGTGAAATTCACCTCAGAGAAAAGCCAAGGGAAGTTAGCCCACACAGCAGTCTAAATCTAGTTGTATAATCACTGGCCTGAGTGAGGTATCTGGGCTCTGAAAGGGAGGGAGAAGCATTTCGCTACACCAACATAGCCTCTCCGTACCATTATTTCCTCCAAGGCAACCGAAAGATCCAGTAACCTTCTCTTGGACATACTGTAGTTTCTGCCATACCAGATCAGACCCTCAGTCCATCAAGTCTGGTCTCCTAGTATGGGCAATAGCCAATATATGATGCTTTGGAGGAAGGTCAAAGGGGAAAAATGCAACTGGCTAATTCTGCATTCTTCCCTAACCCCTGTGGCAAACCGGCTTCAATCCAGAAGCAAGAGATTGTACTGCCTTTATCTCTGCAGGCCTAGCTACAAATATTATATGTCGTAACTTTATCAAGCCACTTCTTTAAAATCCAGTGACAGCTTTTAACTCTGGACAGGGAACTGAGAATACAACAAACATATTTTTCTGTAACAAATGATCACAGCCATCTCACGCTATCTTACATTTCACATCTTGACAATTGCTAGATGATTCGAGCAGGGCTTGGAAATTAAAATTGAAGATTGCAATAAGACATTACATTCCTTCTGTTCCCCATTGTTTTAACATTCATCGCCACCAGCAGAAGAACACACTGTGCCATTTTCAGTTTTCATTGCCAGCTTCAGTGGGAGAATTAGATGTCAGAGATTTTAATGCCGGTAAATTATAACAACACAGTAAACTTACGTAGTGTGTGTTGTTCATACATAAGGAACTTCACAAGAGTGGGAAACTATTATTTCTGATTTTTATAGATGGGGTAACACAGACCCAGAGTGGGGAACTGGCTTGCCCCAGGAAAAAAAAAAGAGAACAAACAGGAATTGGTTTCTTGGGCATGTCTGCCATGCTTTTGTGGTATAACAACAAGTAGAATAAGACTACCCATCTCATCTTCACTGGTGACCATAGACAAGATTTGAACTCTGCTCTCTACAGGGGATGCTAGTTGCATCTTCCAGCACCACTACTCCTCTACTCCAGTCTTGCTACAATCTCCTTGAGAGTCCCTAGTGGTTAGAATAGAGTATTCTGCTGGCCTCTGTATGTGGTTTATAAATCTTAGATTGAGAGTATTTTGGAGCAGGGTCTATTTCTACCTCAGTGTGGGCAGCATTTAGTACTAATAAATAAATGATAGGAAACACTGTGCTATTATCTTAAATAGATTAAATATTCAGAAGCACAAAGACAGTTTAATGGGCTATAATACAAATGACAATCCACAGAAAGCTGAAGGAGAACAAAGGATTCCTCCAGAAACAGCCACACTAGAAAGTCATCAGAAACGACAACCTGTATAAGTCCCCTCCTCAACATAACTCAACTTGCACTCCTTGAGCTCCGACGTTACAGAAAGGCCAGAGGAGCTCAGTGTTTTCATAAAACTGCCAATGCACCTCTTTGGCAGTTTCCCTTTACAAATCGACAGCAGAATTCCAGCACAACGAAGACTTGGTCTCCCTCCTTGGCACTTCAGGCAGGTGACATAGCTAGAGCCTGGCACGGGCTATGCAAAGAGGGATTTCCCCACACAACCACTCTGCCAATGCATCTCAAGCCTGGTGGCACACTCCTGCTATTCCAGAAGGGAGATTACCTGCTACACTGATGTTGGGAGGGGCTTCAAGGAGGGAGGGAGGGAGGGAGGGAGGGAGTGGAAGAGAGAGAGAGAGAGACACACACACCCCGACCCAAGGAGACAATTTGCTAGAAACGTATGCCAGGATTTGAACATATGTCTCCAGTGACAAATGGCAAGTGCACTAGCCTGATGTGCCAACAAGCCCCTTCCATAATGACATACCAACCGGCTTTCCTCAACACACACACCAAACCACCAAGCTTCTTGCCCTTGCGTGACACCTAGGTATGCTCTTTCTGGTCTTTTATTAGAGGAATTCTTAACTGGATGGAAAGCTCTGTTTAAGATGTACATATGGCCAAACTCAGGGCCCTATCCTGCACTGCGCTGAGAGTGCTCAGCACATGACAGAACAGTACTTCCTCCATAGCCAACACAGCTGCTGCCCTAGACTCTTATCAGGCCTTGTCAGGATGGAAAAAAGTAGCATTTAGTGTATAAATAATCTCTTTAATGGTGATGGACATGAACGGGTACAGCAAAGAAATACCTTTCCAATGCTGCCAGATGAACTAGTTCCATCAGCTTGACCTGCAAAGCAGCAGTGAAAGGGTTAAGAGCTTGTGGACGCTCCCTCCACTCAAGAAGTGATCTTTTTTTCGGGGCAGAGGCAGCCACTCTGGCCAGATGTAGTCTGCAGCGCCACCTCAAAGCTGCCCGGAGAGCTGCTCTGTTCCAACACCTGTACAGGGAGCTCAGGCACAGTGCTCCATTGCCTAGAAATAAAAAGATGTCCAGGTTCCCTGCTAGCTAAGCAATTCAACTTTTGCAAGTGGAAGGGGCTTGGCTGTTCTTGGTTTGTCTCCCTAAACACAGACTCACTTCTGGAACACAACTGCCCTAATCCAGACAGGAGATTGAAATGATAAGACGACACAGGAGAAAAAAGAAACAAACGTTTCCTTTGAGGAATGGCTGCTACCCTTATCTGCTGCTGAATCCACCGCCCCGCCTCTGAAAACAAGACAGGCAAACTTCAAAACAGGACAGTTAATCTGGATGTGATCTGGGTTCCTTCTCCCTACACCTTTGGACAAAGCTTATTCATAAGCAGTTAAGACCCCACAGGCAGGAGAAGAAATTTAGGAAGACAAGCATGAAGTCCGAGCTCTCCTTTCACAAGGGATGGGGGAGCCACTGAATATTGACTGTTTTGCCCAGGCAGTGGTGTTTTTAGCTGAAATCTCACTCCTGAGTGTAACAAAAGGCACAGAGTGCATAACTGCTAC